GCAGCTGCAGCGGCAGCAGTAGTAGCAGGACGACTAGCAGTAGGAGCAGCAGCAGCAGCAGTAGTAGTTGTAGTAGTCGCAGCAGCAGCAATAGCAGTGGCAGCAGCAGAAGTAGTGCAGCAGCAGCAGCAGCAGCAGCAGCAGCAGCAGGAGGAGGAGGAGGAGTAGCATCGTCGCCGTTGTCGTTGTTGTTGTTGTTGTTGCTGCTGCTGCTGCTGCTGCTGCTGCTGCTGCTGCTGTTGCTGCTGCTGCTGCTGCTGCTGCTCCTGCTGCTGCTGTTGTTGCTGATGATGCTGTCATCGTAGCAACGCGCGCGGCAGTTAAAATAAGTACTAGCAATAGCAGCAAACAGTAGCAGCAGCAGAAGCAGGAGCAGGACCAGCAGCAGGAGTTGGGCCAGGAGCAGGAGCAGCAGCGGCGCAGCAGGAGCAATAGTAGCAGCAGTAGAAGCAGCAGTAGAAGCAGCAGTAGCAGCAGTGCTGTGCAAGGCTCATGACGAGCAGCTCACCACAAGAATTGTTAATGGGACGTGACTGAACAGGCGTTTGAAGCGGAGTTGGTTGAGCTCTATATCCGAGTATGACGACAACGAAACTTCGATTCATGGCTCGCAGCCTTCTCGTGGTACAGTGCGGTCATGCTCCGAACAAACTCCAGCTGAAGTGTCATTTCCTGGGAGGTGCAAAAGTAGAGAAAGTCAGGTTCGAATTTGAGACAAATCATGCTAAAGGACACACCGCTGCAAGAGCATCCCAGGTGCTGCTGTCAGCGAGGCCGAAGCTTCTGGATGGCTGTCCAAGTGGAAACCTCCCAAGATTCCATCGCTCATCCTGCCGACCAGGTCGGGAGAACGACCACCCTCGGCAACAACCTATCTCGCCTGGTGAGGAACTCCTCCACAGACAGGGCATCAGCCCCATCAGATGCCTTTGCTGGAGGACAATGGCACGACTCTTCCCTCCTTCTCTCGTTACTCTCCGCTTTTCGGGCGATGCCTCGAATCGACGAGTCCACGGAGCAGAGGGTGACAAAGCATCTCCCGAAGAATTTGCAAGGGATCAAAGTGGAGCTTTGAGTTCCCTGGTTTCTTTTTCTACCCGCACGTGCAGCGAATTCCTAAGTCCCAAGTTTACGCGTGTTTCCTTAGAGAGGCGACAGCGACACTGACTTCATCAACTTTGCTCACAAATACTTCGATTTCTGCCGTGTGTTCGGCAGCAAGGGCAGAAAAAATCAAAAGCCGCAGAAGTGGCCCTGCAACACGGTGAAACGTACCAATGAATGCTTTGCATGTTCGCAAGGTCGAATGATCGGCCTCGGTCAGGCACATGACATGTGGCTGGCGGGCCATCTTAGTGTCTGGAGTTCTGCTACTTCCGATCTGTATCCATTCCCGTGTATTTGCATTTGCTTGAATATGTATACCCAATACGTATGTATGCATGTCTGCATGCTACATGCATGCATTAATGCATACGTGCAATGTGCTCGTTGCAGCATTCCTCTGAATCGGATGCCAGCAGGTTTGTACACATGCGAGGCCGATTCGCACACTGCAAAGACACCAAATCGTGCTCTAGGAGAGGGATTCGTGCACGCGAGCTGTGGCCAGGGGTTCTGTTTGTCGGGACGCACACACTGCGGTGGCGGATTCGGCCACAGCGGGCTCGCCCGTTGTTGGGGCACCATGTCACGCACTCACCGCGTGGATTCAAGATTCTGCATCGGGGATTCACACATGAATGCCATTTCGTCGGATTCGTGTGCAGTGGAGTCGCCAAGAGCGTCAGCTTTCCCGCACCCTCACAGGCGCCATCATTATTGCCAATCCAAGGAATCCAAGGCCGTACGCTGTTCCAAGGACACAGGGGGGGCTGCGTCATAAACCCTAGACTGACCCTAAACTGCTAGAGTGTAGTTCGGGAGTGAGTGTTGGCCAAAACTCCGACCCGAGAAGGAGTGGCGGTAGAAAGGGAGCAAACCACATACCTAAATGAGTGAATGCTGCAGAGTCCCAAAACCCTTGGTGCGATTGAATCAAATGTTCCAAGAAACAGAAAGCTCAAAACCCTCAAGGAGGGAATGGTAGTGCAAGACCCAACCCCCAAAGGAGCGACTGATTGTCGAACACCCAGAATGTGATTACGACAAAAACCTAATCCCAACAAAGACTAATTGGCTCACAAAAACAGAACTAGAATCGCTGGCAAGCCCAATACTGATTCCTGACTCGGGCGACGTTGTTTCCCAGCTCGTGGTGCAGGAATTGGGCAGCATTCTTTGAGGACCGGTGTTTTGAACAAGCCAGACCGACCCTCAAGATACCGAACATCTTCGCAACCATAAGCCCTAAAAACCAAAATCGCTAAGACCGAAGCCTTAACAACATAAGGCTGGAACAAAGCCGAATATCCCCATAGCCCCAAACTCTCGGCTCTGCTTGCCCCACCGCAACTCCAAGTTCCTCTTCACATCGCAACCCGAAACAATCCTAAATTACGCTTAAAACGCCGAGTGCTTGAATCGGCTGGTGCTTCAATCTGATTTGGTGCCTGAATAGGGCGGAAAGTGCTTGGACCGCGAGGCTCGATTTACGGTTGTGTCTGAGTCAGTCCTTCTGCACTGATTGTCTTTACATCGTGTGTGTGTGTGTGTGTGTGTGCGTGCGTTGCCATGCATGCGTGTGCTAGCTACGACTATCAGTTTCATTCGGGCTCGGTGCTCATAGGACGACGATTCATTTGTCGTGTGTGTAATTTCGTGTTCATCGTCACTTGCGTGCCTATTCGGTGTTTGCTGGAGTTTGGGCCGGATTGGTGGGTGGACAGCAGCTTCCCTACATGGGGAAACAGGAAGTATGCGTAGTCATTAAGCCTCTCTCTCTCGCTGTATCTATACATACATATATATATATATACGTATATATATATATATATATATATTTTATTTTTTATCTATTTATACGTACTTTGGGTGTTTTGTTTTGGAATCTCCGCAGGGTTTGATATTTGTTGGCTTGGGTTTTGGCGTCTGCCTTTTTCGGTTCAGATTTTTGCGTGGTTGTTTCTGGAATGGCGTTGGCCCAAACTAGCAAATCACAGAGTCATGTTCCGATCGTTGGCGGCAACCCTTCGACCCCGAGAGGACTCGTAAGCCTAACCAGGAAAGGAGTGAGAACGACGAAGTCAAAACTCTACCCACCGGAAAGGAACGGGAGTGTGGTTGGGCATGCCAAACCCGAAAACCGAAAGCAGTGGGAACCGTGCAATGCTGACCAGATAAAGAGCTTGGAGTAGCAAGGCTAGACCCGACAGGAACGGAGAATTGCAAACCCTATAAAAGAAAGCACGGCAGACACACAACCACGAAATGGCCTCGGGATGGCAAGCTGAAAGTAAATTCGGAATTACGGTGGAAAACGACAAACGGCAAACCTGCGCGACTCGAAATGAATACAGGCTCAAACACACAAACGATGTAACGAGCTTCCAGGTGCAAACCCTGAACCCGAAAAATCAGCCAGAGAATGGAGTTGGCAAATGGCAGACACTAAGTGTACATGAAGGGAAGATGGCACAGGCTGTAGACCGGAGGGCATTTCACGGATGAGGCGGGGGGAAAGCAGAACCCGAAACCTCGAAAGCCCAGAAAAGTTCGGATAGTGGCAAAACCTGTAGTGTAGAGCCTTGACAAGGCAAGACATGGCAACACAGGAATACAGGATTGGCAAACCAGACAATCCCAAGCCAATTGTGGCGCCAGTAAGGAAAAGCGCGACAAGCCCGAACCCCCCACGCCTCGGGCTTGTTGGGGGGCACTTGGAGATGCCAAACGGCACGCGAAAAGCCCAGTCAAAAAGTTGCATTGGATACAGATTTTGGGGGAAAGACTAAAAATCCAAAAGCTTCGAAAAGTCAAGAAAGGCCACGAAAAATCTAACAGTATGGACAACAGCGACTTTTCGAACACCGTGAAAGTCTAATTATACAGCGACAGGCGAAAGTCAAGTGTCGAAACAGTGAAAACTTTCGAAAAACGGTAGAAATCTAGAACCACCACAGAAGAGACAAATTCTCAAGAAGTCTGGCGAAACATCACGGAGTTCGCCTGACCCGAAAACTTATTGCTTACTTCGATGAAACCCGACATGATGTCAATGACATGATGTCAATTTCCAAGACCTGAGGATGGCCCAAATGCTTATGCCTTGTCCATTTGTTGCGCTTTCGGAACCATGAGATTGCCAAAATCGTTGAAAGTTGGTTCCCCAAAGCGGACATCATTGGAATTTGGGTGGCACGCACAACTTTTTGGTGGTCGGAAAACGACATGCTCAAAACCAAGCAATCGAAACAAACCTGTGTTTCTGCTACTGTGGGTGCTCTGGAAACAAGATGGAAACGCACGTATTGTATCGTATTGCAATATGCAGCTGGCCGGCTCCAAATTCCATATGTATGGCTGCCTTCTTGCTTTTGGAAAAAGCACAAAATTGTCAAAACTCATTGTTGAAAGATTCCACATGAAGAGTTCGCCTAACCCGAAGCTCAGCCAAAACATCCAAACCCACTAGCCCTCAGCCCTGTCCACTTACGGCTGGGCTCCCCGTTGCCGAAAAGACCGAAAAGCACAGAAAAGCACAAAAAGTCGAAAGCTGTCCGACTTCCTGACTTTTCGAGAGTTGATTCGGCTCTCGCTTATCGAAACCAGGGCATACTTGCGTGCTTGGCAAACCTCGGGGGTTGTTATGTTTCGGAGTCATCGTTGTATCGGAGTTGGAGAGATTGAACATTGCAATACTGCCACGACAGCTGCTTCGATACTCGGCTGAAATCAAACGTCCCTTCGACACTCGCGCCCGCAACTGGGCAACACCTGTGAGGCACTTGCATCGTGCTGACTGCAACCTCGAGCAGATTGCCCCGTTTCTGCAGCAGAGCGGCACTTTGCGGGGTGGAGGAAGCCACGAGGAGCTCCTGGCTGAGGCTTTGGGGAAGGGCGCTCAGATTGCAACACTACTTTTCGACGGCTCCTGCTTCCGGACCTGCAACAAGCGCTTGGACGACAACAGCTTGGCCAAGAGCTTCTTGATGAGGTTCCTCAGAGGCAGATCAGCGAAAGAACAGAGTAGATCGAGAGAAACACAGCGGGAGAGAAACGCAGAGACGGAGAGCTGGATGGGGAGATCGATACAGGGTCCATAGACGGGTAGACGAGCAGATGTAGGAGGGCAAGAAGCTGGATAGACATGTAGAGCAGCGGCGAAGGAGGAGCAAACCGAGCAAAGCTGACCTGCTCTCGAACTCCGGCCGAGTTTCTCAGAGAGTCGTACAAGGTCCAGGCTTTTGAGAGAATCCTCCTGAAAGGACCGCGAGACTGCGGGCTAGAAGCTGTCAGCTCTTGGTCACAGGACGCACCTCTCCAGTCACTGCAAACGGCAGCGCCTTGGATCACAGAGAGGAAGCTTTGGAGATTCTTGAAGTCAAAAAAGACGACACTGTTGTTTGCTGGAAGCCGGCACCCTTGTCCGGCCTCTGCTGGTGGCAGGAGGCCAGCAGCATCGGGTCGAAGCAGTTTCAGCACTGCCTGCAGAAAGCGGCTTCCGAATGCTCACTTCCCCCTCTGCTCGATCCCGTGCCGACACGACTCTCAGAGACTCGCATCACCGAAGTCTGAAGCCGGTCCCAGAATCCCATCTGGGCTCTTCTTCACCGAGGCCGGCAGAGCGACCATGCGGCCACGCACAGACCCGGAAAGCACAAAAGGGCAACCCCGGCAACCCCTGCATTCGCACTTCCGGGTTCTTGGCTGCTCACATGAAAAATGGCAGTGGGCACAAGACAAGTCCGCAGCCTTCGTGCTGGAGGATCTGAGTTCATAATAGTGTTGGTTTGAGGTTGCTTGTTCCGACTACTGGGTGCATGCGGGTCAAGATTGCAGGTGTGTTGGTTTACGGGTTTACCTCCAATCCAAAGCTTAGAGTACCTATCCTGACTACCTACAGCTGGACGTATCACTGGCTGCAAACAAGAGTAACCCACAACTGAAGTGGACACGGTTCAATTTGGGGGCAGTCCCTCTGCTTGCTTAAAAGTAAGGTGAGCAACGACACATTCCTAGCTTCCGAATGGCACGCACACGTTTTGATTTGATGCATGTCCGTACAAGCCTCCAGTGCCCGACGCTGCATCTGAAGAGGCACCGGCCGGCGGGCCTCACTGCGTCTGTTTGGCAGGCCCGCAACAACCATCAGATGGTCAAGGCAGCTTCAATCTGGCCTTTGATGCATTCCACACTGGACCGCGGTGGGCGTAGCTGTTCCGGATTCCACCCACCCAGGGTATAAGGCCTCCGAGAGAGTCAAGCCAAACGCCTGGTCGACGCTCAATCTGTGCAGCCAAGCATCCGAGACCGACGACCTCTGCTTCCCTGGCAGGCCGTGTTCCGGCGCAAACAGACACGGGATGAGACATGACGAGACTGTAGCCGCCCAAAGTCGACAGAGGTAGCATTCGCGCAAAGCAGCACTCGAACGCAGTTGTCAACATAAGCCCCTAGCCTGGATCCTGTACACTCGCTCTAAAACCCTCCCAATCAATGCTGATTCAGATTCAGAACTGGAAAGCAACCAATCGATATCTTCTTCTGCTGATCTTGAATCTGGCAGCTCCGTTTGGAAAAGCTGCCGTGCAACATTGCAGATTGCTTCGGGAAGTGCACAAACGAAGTTACGAAGCTAGCTTCGGGTACCCTGTTGGCAGGACGATGCAAAAAACACGTAAGAACTGCAAAACCAACTCGGCTGGTCTCTCACCCGGCCAAGCCTCAGCAGCGAGCCCAATGAGTTGCCGTAGTTGCGCCAGGGTCCATCAGCCTCGCAACGTTTCACAAAGCAAACTGCTTCTGTTACGACATCGGGGCAGGCCAGGTATTAAACTTTTGTGGGGCCAGTGCTGTCGTAATCAGCATTCAGGTTTGCTGGCTTTGGATCTCCCAGGCAGCGGTCTCAGAGAGCTGCTGATTTGCCTTTGTGGGTTATCGCACGTGTCGCGGAGCCTGCACGTAGCGCTTGTGCAGCTCGCCCTGCACTCGTGCAATTCGAGTCAGGCGCTTCTCGTGGAAGGCCACAGGGTCCTGGCAATGTCGGTGAACGGATTTCCACTTTAAAGCGATGGCAGACGCTTCTCGGGTCCTCGCCGAGGTCTTCGGTCATGCAGAAGGGATCCTCACCTAACTCCGCGTCTGCATCGTAGCAGACATCGAAAGCCTTCGCTTCCTCCAACAGAGCTGCGAGCCTGAGATGGACACAAGGCTGGAGGTTTCGAGCTGGAGCCATGTCTCTCTTCCTCTGGGCAGCCCATAGAAAGCCTCTGTGGGCGATTCGGAAGGCTCGGAGTACCCGTAGCGGATGGCGAGCTTGTCCTGAGATTCGTCATAGACCCCACTGGCTGGAAACAAGCAACCCCGCTTCTGCACTTGCAGCCAACGGAAAATTAATTCCATAACCTCGTACACGAGGAAAAAAACTGCAGCCCTCAGAAGGGTGGCCGCAGCCGAGTAGATTCGACGAGCCGTCGTCGAGGTCATGTTACCCAGTTCAACTGTCCTACCAAGACTCCTGAGAAGCTTTGCAAGGTTTTGGGACAACGACGGCAGCCAGTATTGTAGACCAGGTTGGAATTGCACAGTCGTCTGAAATTGTCGTCGATGCAAGCGTGGCACGTGCAGCCGTTTGGGACGAAGCTTCGTCAACCAGGCCAGTCTGGAGTCTGGAAGCTGCGCGATTCCGATTTCCAGTGAGACTATCGGAGCTTAAAATCCACATGGACATGAAACGCAGCCAAGGAGTCGTAAGCGCCGATGGTCGGTGGGAAGATGTGAACGGAGTTGGGCTCGCGCCCCGGCTCCGGCAAGTTCATGGGCAAATAGTCCATGATGCCTGGAGGATGGGGCCTTTATGTTGCAGTGGGTTTGGGGAGATGCGGTGAGGTGCAAAGCTCCGTAACAACGGCTCTACAGCTCGCTAAGTCTAGGCTAATCTCAGGACTTGCACCAAAGCACTCGCGGAGAGCCCGTGGACGGCGGTGCCTCGCTGAGGGAGGAAAGACAATTCAGAGACATCTCGTCTCAGACCTCTTGTTCTTTGTACTAAAGACTACCTTCATGTCTGTTTTTTCTGTGGTCGAAGCTAGCCCACCCCGCGGGCCCCAATGGCTCCTACAGTGCGGCGAGGCACAGCTGCGATTCTCCAAGCAGTTCTCAGAGATGAAGGTGCTCCCCTTGAAGTTGTGCCTGAAAGCGGACAGCAACCTCTTTTCAGCATCTCCAAAGCACCAGCCCGCTAGCCTCAAGCCAAGGATGTGCCCCATTTCGTGCATCACCACGCTCTTCAGGCCTTCTCCCATCAACACCTGCCGCACAAGCTGGGGTGCCAATACTTCTGCTCCAAAGCTACAGCGCAGCCCACACTGCAAAATGCAGAAATGGATGACCCGGCACCAACAAGCAAACCCCAAGGAGTACTTCTAGCAGCCTCGCCGACTCGCCAAACAACCCGCTACACCTCGAGTTGCAGTGTGGTCAGCGGCTGCCCTGCAGAGAGCAGCAGCGGCCCCGCGTGAACACCATGTCGTGGCAGCTGCACAGGGCCCACGCAGACTTGTGCAGAGATTGTCACCTCAACACCTGCCGCCTGCCTGTCGCCAGTGCACATGCCAAGCCTCGGAAGTCTCGCCAGACTCGCCAACCTCGCGAGGGATCTTCGTGTGCCGCGACTTCTGTGCATGCCTCGGCGCTCAGAGTGACAGGTTCGCCGGACAGGCAGACCCAAGAAAACGAAGAGTGAGAGTCCAAAGTCTGCGTGTGTTTTCAGAGTGGCATGGACCTTGTCGGCCGCCTCGACCGCCCCGCTGACCTGCCAGGTCACCAGGCAGGCGCCCGGGTCTACCACGCGGCCGGGCAATTGTGTCCCCAAAAAAATCTTTGCCTTCTGGAACGCTTGGGCAGCTGCATCCCACTCACCACACCTGCAGACAGCATTCCTGAAGACGCTATCATGACTCGGATCAGAGGCGTACCTCATTGCAGCAACCAAAGGCATTGCACACTCCAAAGAACCGCTTCATCTCGCAGGCTGTTAGAGACCGCATTCAATGCTGGAGCCGCTTCAACGTTTGATCCAGCATATGGTTGCCTCTATGTTTCTTCGACCGACACGCTCAGCACAAGGCAACGAACGAGATAGATGCAGGGCGTGATGTTGCTGTGCATGGCAGTATTAGAAATGCATAGAAAGCGTCCCAAACGCAAACTCAGCAGCTTCTGAAGTGGTATCCTTCTGGGCCATTCCGAGGAACACCGGGATAAGACCAAGAACGAAGCACCGACTAAGCGAGGGTGAGAGACCTAACCTTTGCACCCACGGAAAACCAAGCACCGCGTCTCGCCGACGGTTACCCAGAGAAAATACCGAGAGAGGCCGAAGCCTGGGTAGCTCAGCCGAAAGGAGATCATCTCGACTGCGCTTGATGTTCTACCAGAAAAGACGTTGTCCTACGAACCATGACCAACAATGGCCTTGTTGGCGTGAGAGACTTTCCGGGAGTGGCTGCAGGCTATCGGCTATAGTTAGATGGGACATGATAGGACCAGACAGGACGAAAAAAAATGCTTGCGCTCCGCTGCTTTGGCTTCCGCAACCTCAAAAACAACGCAAACGTCGCGGCACGTGAGACCTAAGCACATCTGGTAGAATCTGCCTTGGCCCAAGAGAGCGAGGCGATCCTCCCGAGTAGCGTTGGCCGCCAGGAGATCAAGTTCAGAAAGCCAAGCCCACACCCAGCCTTACCAACACAAGAAAGACACACTGCACTGCTGCACCTCTCGCCAAACGAAGAAGCCGAGTTTTCTGACCGCTGCCCATGCGGATGTCGGCTTTGATAATCTCACCGGTTCTCGGATCCACCTCACAAGCCAAGAAGAGCTCGCCGGGAAGGGCAGGGTGAAGAAACGCTCGGAGCAATCGTGAATCAAGTCGAAAAATTGTAAAAAGAATTGAACAAGAATAAGCACCTATGAAAAGCAGTCCCCTGGCTGTTGGACTGAGGAAAGCAGTAGCAGTAGCAGGAGCCGTAGCAGTAGCAGTAGGAGTAGCAATAACAGTAGCAGAAGCAGCAGCAGCAGTAGCTACTAGTAGTAGAAATAATAGAAGTAGAAGTATAAGTTTACTAGTACCATTATTGTGCTTACTATTCTATCACTACTTGTATTCTCACAATTAGAATTATGACTATTATTAACAGGATGATTAGTTTTTGTAGTATTAATAGTAGTATGCTTACGAAAACCTGAATATATTATGAATTACTATTGTTCTTGATCGTCTAATTAGTCGTTCTATTCTTCTTCTCGCTGGTGGTGCTGCTGCTGCGGCAGGCTTGATTGCTCCTTTCCGCCGTCGTCATTGTCATTGCTGCTACTGCTAGCGCCGGTGGTGTCCGTGGTGCCGGCGGCGCGGAGGAGATGCTGGTGGTGATGGTGCTGGCGGCGATGGCGCCAGTGGTGGTGTTTGAGGAAGTTGTGGAGAGTTGCCGTGCTTGCAACAACAATAACCGCAATGACCATTGCCGTTGTTGTGGCTGTTGCTTATTGGGGCCTTGTCGGTTGTTGCTGCCTGGTGCTGGTCCTGGGCTCCTAACACGGAACGCTGAACCAAAGCTTAGCAACCAAGGCCAGAACACTGCCCCACCACATCGCAAGAGCACCATCCCAGCTGTCGGTACCCCAGTACCCGAGCACCCACAATCACTCCGCCCTGGCAAAAGGGCCGCGAAACGAGCACCACCACCACATGCCTAATCAAACCAAGCATGGGACCGTTCTGAGCCCTTGGCCTGAGCATCACCTTCACTGGAGATGTCATCAGACAGAGACCAGTAGATCGTGTTGTACCGTGCATCGGCCTCAGCTCTCAGGAGCACTTTCAGGCTGACAGAGTCCAGGCCCGATGGGGCCTGGAAAAGGCCCGGACCATGCTGTAGTCCTGCGGCCAGTCATCGTCAGAAGGCAGAACAGCCTGGAGTCGAAGCAGTCACGCTTCTCTCTGCCATCCCTACAGGCTATGCATGCTGTCAGCTCAGCCAAGCTCGGCATATTAGATGGGATCTGTAGGGTCTTGGCTCTCACTGCCGATGGCATTCGCAGTGTTGCGAAGGCCGAATTCCAGGCCTCCACCGTCCAGGCTCGCCGACGTGTCGCGAAGCAGAGACGTGTTACTGAATGAATCGAGAAAGACACCCTGCTTGCTCAATAAGTAGCCGACCTAAAACGGCCGAAACTTGCACGGAAACGCCCGTGTGATGCCTCAACACCTTCTTTGACCCAGGCTTGCCAGCGCAGCGGTACTGTTGGGTCGATGTGTATCCTGCAGCGCAGACACGAGCCAATTTGTGAGCCGCGACAGCTTGGCCGCGAGCATAGAGCATGGACGACGGCATGATTCTAATCGCGTGAACGACGAGCCTGATGGTCCGGTTGGGCAGCTTCCCGAGGTCCCAGCGCCACATCAACGAGATCTGCCGGTCCACCGCCTGGGACACTGACGAAGCACTGTGAGATTCAGTCGGAGTCGGGTTCAGGTCTTCAAAACGATACGCCCACGCCCTGTGCACACCTCACTTGGCAGCGTGTGCATATCCGCTTGGTGATAGCCCACGTCCACGAAATCCTTGGTGCTTGGATGTGCTTGGGACATGACAGAGATTCACAAGGGCTGTGCAAAAAAGGATCCCTTGCACCTTGCTCCGAGAGTCTGTTGTGAAGTATAGCAACCGGTCATCAGCGACTCGAGGCTTCATCGGAGTTGTTGGCAACATGACCTACACTGGAAGAACAGTAAGGACGTGTTTTTGATCGAGAGAACTCACTGCCCAAAGCTGGGCACAGAGATGGGACAATTCCGAGCCAAAGTATCCCAGCGGCCACTGAGAACCCCAGAATCACCGGGGCGGGAGAGCTCAGATATTCCACGCTCACGTCGAAGTTCTGAGGATAAGCCTTCAGATCCATGGATCAAACACCCAGCATTTCACACCAGGCCAGGCGGCCAGGCCCTGGCCTCTGCTGTGACAATACGGTAGCTCGTCACACTCTCCAGCGAATACGTGTAAAACATCCGCGACACCTGGTCAGAACACTGGACTTGAATAAGGACTGGGCGTTGAAACGGCTCGAATCAGAGATGCGCGTGGCCGTGTCGAGCGGGGTCAGTTCCAGGTTGCACAACTGAGGCAATGACCATTTGCGCGGCATCGACGATCACCTGCAAGTCGAAAGCTTCATGTGCTGAAAGGCTGAAAGCAAACCACCACATGTAAACGTGGCCAGTGTCAGTCCGCTTGACCTTGTGGCTCATCGGAGGGGCACAAGGCTGCCTCAAACACCAAAGACATCGGACACCAGAGACACGACCCCACTGGCGCACTTGTTGGACTGAGCTGCAAAGCGATTACATCCAGCCATCCATCTCCGACTCCAAGGACAACCTCCTCCTTCGAAAAAAACCTACACTCTCTGCAGGCAGTACGAGGCGGACGCTACAACAGCTCTTATCCACGTCATCCCAAGAGCGCTGCAGCTCGTGCCACTCCTGACTCTGGCGGTCACTGGTGCGGAAGCTCGTTGGAGGCTGGTAGACATCAATCACCGACCTTAGCTCATGAAGGCGCCGGGCAAGACGGGAAGGTGTCACGGTGTGCTTTTTAAGCCGCGGCCGTGCTGCCGGACCCGATCAAGCTGGAGAACGAGGTGAGTTGCCGTGTTCTCTCCTAGCGCTGTCCAGAAGCCAGCGCCTTGCGTGTTCCCGCAAGGACTACACAGCACGAGCTCATGGACAGCAGAAATCGCATCACGGCCTTCTATGTAGGCACCGTCCATGGTTATGGCCGTCACCAGGATTTCCAACACCTGCGCTTTCCGTCTGCAGTCGGCCATACGCAACTCTACCTTCTCGGCACCCAAATCGACACCGCCATGTGTGTTCGCACGAGCATGAACTGAGCTTCGGCAGCATCCTGCTATTGCCGAAGCTATCGCGACTACACGACTGGCTGCATATGCTGGCTGGCAGTGGTGGGCAAAACAAGGCACGCTTTGCTCAAGAACTTGGCTTTGGAAGCTTTGTGCGTACAGTCGTGGGTGGCAGCGAGGTGTCAAAACGGCGATGCCCATGGCCGAAAGCTTCGCTGCCGGATGAGCACGAACGTTTCGAGCACTGGCTCCGTTTCGAGCACTTGCTCCAATTCAATCTGCCCGATGCTGCCTCGCCACCGGCAAAGGCATTCGTCATGTCCAGGGATAGGGTGTCGATGCTGATGCCACTCCCCTTCATGCGACGGCACAGCGTTGCCCAAAGGTTGTACGGCGGTGGATCCAACTTCTCAGTGCGCCTGCAGGACATCTACGAAGGCGCTTGCAGATCCTGAGCTCCATGCGTCACACCACAATCTTGACTCGCACATGTGCTGTTCAGCCGAACCACATGCAGCGCACCGCATCAGCAAAACGGGAGCATTGAAGTTTACGACTCTTTGCACAGTGCAACCGCGGGATACTGTCTTCCAACACCATGCGAACTACCGTCGTCACCGACACATCCAAACCCGGTTGCCCCGTAAGACCACTGGCCCCATGCGATATTTGCAACTGAGTGCTGCGCTGGATTGGCATGCATCTTCTTCCTTGCCCACCTCGTCCTGCTGAGTGAAGCGGCATCACACAGAAAGCAGGCAGCATTGCATGCCCGCAGAGGAGGAGAGCGGAAAGAAGCTGTCATTCTGAGGCAAACTCCGTTTCCGAACCACTGCAAGTGTCCTTGAGCCGCAATTGCGATTTGTCGGCGCCCTGGGCAGAACACACAGAGCAGGTTGAACCATCCAGCAACCTCCTCACGACCAAAATTGGAAGACAGCAGTGTCACTCAGAGAAGCGAAGCACCTGTCCCTGCTCGTTGTCTCCGCCGGCAGGGTTCGAAACACCTCACAAGCTAAGACGGGGACTCACAGAAAAGACATGCTGCAAGAACCTGTAGAGTCTACATCAATCAGGCAACTGCATAGACATCAAAACGTATGACATTGCTACCACGGATGGCTTCGATGTTCCGAGCTGCGAGTGATCATAACTTGGCAAAGTCACCTTGGAGACTTGCTGAAGCCACCTGCAGCACAACGCGGATGGATGATTCCAAGTCACGATACAAACAGGCCTCCGTCGTATTTTCTGTCGCAGGTGCTTGATTCGCACTGGAAGTCGCGCTGACCTCCTTCTTCTCGGGCCTGTGCTCCTTGGAGATCCAAGGGCATGTCTGCCATGATCTTATGAGGGATACGATTGCGCCCTTCGACGGACACACAGGAACAAAAACTTTGGCACACATGTGTGGTTCCGCAAGACTGCCAGAGTTTCACAACCGATGACCAGGCAAAGAGGCCTTCGTTGCTGAAGACAAGGACACATGGTCGCTCCTCGATGCAAGGCACATTCACCTCTCACAGGCCTACAAGAACACGTTGGTACAGAGAACAAGTAGTCGACTTGGTTTGCAAGTTGTTCGGCTGACACGGCTTCCAGGTGTTTGCAGCAACCTCCGGACGAACACCCCTAGATGCCAAAGCTCAACACCCGTCACTGCCCGTCACCTGCCAAGGAAGAAACTCCATGCTTGATACAGCGGCACCAAGGTTTCCAACCGAGCTGCGAAGCTTGCATCTGCAGCAGCACGGGAGCCACACAGCCAGCATGTGCGGATTGCGCCACCAGGCTCGATAACGTGGACGCAAAGACGGCGGTGAACAGGTGAAACATTGTTTCCTGCCAAACATGCCGAAATGTGGACGCTGACTCTCCAGCAATGAGTGTCGGAAGCTGCTTAACGAACACACCTGCACCTGCGGCAAAACTGACTCATCAACCCCACCACCAACCATGTGAGCTGCGAATGCAGGCAAATGACGAAAACCCACTTGGTGTAGAAGCGCCTGAATCGGGGCCGCTGGATCTTCGGCCCTATATAAACCGTGGATCCTGCGGTTGCTCTCAAGTGGTTGAGGCCGAAACCAAACTCGATCTTCAACCTCGAACTCTGCTTGAATGCTGATTGGCTCACATTACATTGCCATCCAAAGCAACCACAGGAGAACGGTCGGCACACTCTTCGCTACCGGGAAAGTTGTTCTAATTGGAAAGGTCTGAAAGCGTGATTGCTTGAACCAGAAAATGCCCAGCAAAAATCACATAATCAGCATGCAATAGCAGTAGCACAAAAAGCGGAACGCAAAATGAAACCGCGGAGCAATCATGCGAACAGTCTTCCAAAAATAAGGAATCAACGCAGACAAACACTATAATACTATAAAAACCTGGGTTTAGGGTTTTTGCTGCATCCGTCGGCCCACGGTCCGCGGTTCAGATGCGAGACAGCAATCCAGCTGACCCGGGGAGATGCACTGATTTTCTGCAACTGGTACAACGACCACTCTGCTAGCACTGAACCAGGGTTCGGCATCTGTCTGCTGTGCTTTTCTCTGTGCTATGGCAGTCTTTGTACACCGTGGTGGCGTGACTCTTTGTGCACCGGTCCTGGATGTCTTGCAGACGGGGTGTTGGGAGGTCTAGGCCCCAAGGGTTTTGCAAAAGGGTCTTGCATGGAAGGTCTGGACCCGAAGTGAAAGCGCGGTAGGGCCAGTCTCCATTCAGTTGGCTTGGTTATGCAAGAGTGCAAAGTTTAAAGTGGCGGTTCACGTGGCTGTGGGGGTTGAGACCACGCTTTCCACTCCAATGCCATGCTCTGGAAAAGATCTGTTTTAGCTGTCGGTGTCGTTCTGCTGGTTCGCTAACATGTTAGAGTCCCTTTGCCGTATTGCACGAGGCCTGGACATTCCATTGTCTTCAGACCAGTGTAGTTGCTCCATTGAAGATGCTTGCTCTTGCGTTCCTGTCAAGGCTGTCGAGTCTCCACCTCATGCGAGGGTGGACGGCGCCCCAGCATGGTATTCTGAAAATGCTCAGGCATGAGTTTGTTTCATTCATCCCGCCTTTGGAATCGAAGTCGGAGGACCCCCTTTTTACACTGGAGGAGACTGCTTCTCCTAAAAACATTGCATCCGCTCGGTGGGTTCCCTCTGTGGACTGGTCAATCCCGCCGGGGCAGCCTTACGCCCTGCGTGCTCTTTCGTCTCTGAGTACATTCATGAAGAACGTTGACTGCACTCTTTTCACTTGTCTCATCCAAGGTGTGCATCCCAGTTTCGGGCTGCATGGCCCCTTCTCGCAAGGATGCATTGGATGAACAATTGCAGGTCTGCGAACAAAACTCGCAGGGCGTGGAGGACGATCCAGCGCTACTTGATAAGCTGGTTCAGTCAGAAGTCGATAAAGATTCGTTAACTACAGTTGATTCCATTGAAGCTGCCCGTGAACGGTATCCGGCAGTGGCTGTGGGCAAAATGAATATTGCACATTCGGAAGGTCGAGACCCGAGGCTGGTGGTGGACTCTTCCATTTGTGGCACCAATGCTTCATGATTCATTCCAGAGCGCAGCGCCTTGCTTACAGTACCGTCGATACAAGCTTCTTGGCCGCTTAGGGGCCTTCTGGCTTGCGTTGCGGCGTTGTCCCTAGATGTTAAAGCTGCTCACAAATCCGTTCATGTCCGCCCCTCAGAGCAGGGTTTGCTGGGTGTACGCATTGGCAATCGCTTTTTCTTTTACAATGTGTGCCCGTTTGGGGCTACATTGTCGGCGTACTGGTTTGCTCGCTTTGGTGCACTCTTCGTTAGAGCTCTCCACCTGTTGGTGTACATTTCCCATTTCCTTGCATTATACGTGGACGACCTTTTGGGGTTTCTCTCAGCCGCCGTTGCGGAGATGAGTTTTGCGTTACATTATATTTCTGCTCCATTTTTGGTATACCTTTGAGCTGGCGAAATTACACAAGTTGCTCGAGTCGGCTCTGTGCCGCAAGTGCACTGACAGAGTTACATTGAGCAAGATTTGCGGCGTCTTGCAGTGGCTGTTCAAGCTTCGTCCACTGGCTCGTCCATGCATGGCTGAGGTCTCTTTACATGGACTTGCGCACGCCCCGTGCGACGAATTTCAGTGTGCGACAGCATGAATGGGAACATTTTGTCTCGTGCCTCAGCCCTACACTACATTTGGCGACATTTGGTTCGTGCGCCGAAGGGGGCTGCCATATCCATTGGCAGTCGTTTGCTCAGCATTCGCCACAGGAAAGTGTCGTCCAAAACAGACATTCAGATGCAACCTTGGAGATAAGGACATTTGGGTTCACATTTCCGATCCTGCATCCAAGCACCGCAACCTTTCTCCAGTCTCCAAGGAGCTTCTACATTATTGGAAGGGCTGGAGTGCATTGCCACCGATGTGGCGTCCATTACATCCTTTGCCACATCTGGAGGTGGAGGCTGCGGCCGATGCCATGGCTGGAGGCGACAAGTTCCCCATTGGCGGTTACATTACACTCCCTCTGGGGACTTTTGGTTCTCCGAGCATTTCGCACCCAGGACCCTGCGTTTGCGGAGATACCTCTTCGCTCCGAGGCCAACAAGGACATCACAAGCTACGAGGCCTTGGCGAAGATTGCATTGGTCTGGCTTTTGGGCCACGTGCATCCGATGTCGAAACTTTCAGTTTGCATACATTCGTGTTGCGACAATACTGGAGCGGAAGCTTCTTTCAACAAGCTTTTCACTACTGCATGGCCCTTGGCTGCATTTACTCAGCGGCTTGCATTAATGTCCAGCTTCACTGGTGTTTTGCTGGATGTACAATGTGCATCACATTGCGGGTCCCAAGAGGACCACCTCAGCCGATGGGTGCCTCCGGCTCCATTACCTGAGCGATGGCGGCCTGCCAACTGCCGTCGCATTACATTGAGACAGCTTTGGTTTTCCTCACCCAGGGTGGCCCTTTCGCCACCGGAGTGGAAGCCGTCTTTTTCCATTCCATTGAGCTCTCCTCTGGGCTCTGTGAACTTTACATTTCAAGCTGTCTTTGCTGCAATGTGGACTCAGGCTGTAATGCGTTACGAGGCTTCAATTCGGAACTGTCCAACTTTTGCATTCCATCTTTTGGCACAAGTTGTGCCATGATGGCCGAGGTTCCGCTTTTCCAGTGAGTCACACGGTTTGCATTTGGGGAATTGATGCGCGACTCACTTCCATTCGCTGCCAGATTTCAACTTGGGGAAAGAACATGCCGATCCATTTGCATTCGTGATTGACCGAGTCGATCTACCGATGCTGACATGGACCGCATTCCCGGCAGTGAAAATGAAGTGATGAGCGAGTGAGAGCATCAATTCCATTTTATACTTCTCGTATATGTGACTTATTTCCCCTTTCTGTGTCAACCGGGTGTTCA